GCCTGGCCCCCTGACTCTTAAAAATGACTTTTTTTTTTTTTTTTTGCCTCTACCTCCCAAGTGCTGGGATTATAGGACTGTACCACCATGCCCAGCTCTAAGAATATAGGATTCTTTTAAATGTTTCTCCCTAGTGCTGGGGATAGAAGCCAGGCAAGTCAGTACCACTGAGCCACATCCCCAACCCCAGACTTCATTACTGCAGTCCCTGAGCTTCTTTACTCAAGACTGGTACTCTACCAGTTAAGCTAGAACTCTACATCTAGCTTGTTGGTGGTTAACTGGAGCTAAGAGTCTCACAAACTTTCCTGTCCTGTCTGGCTTTGAACGGTGATCCTCAGATCTCAGGCTTCTGAGTAGCTAGGATTACAGGCCACTGGTGCCCAGCTCCAACAAAGTTGTTAGTTGCCCCCCCCCCCCTGGTGTGGGGCTTTAACTCTGGGCTTGGGTGCTGACCCTGCACTCTTCAGCTCAAGGCGAGCACTCTACCACTTGAGCCACAGAACCACTTCTGGTTTTCTAGCGGTTAATTGAAGGGTCTCAGAGACTTTCCTGCTAGGGCTGGCTTTGAACTGGGATCCTCAGATCTCAGCCTCCTGAGTAACTACAATTATGGGTGTGAGCCACTGGTGTCTGGCCAACAAAGCTTTTAACCTGCCAGATCAACATATGATGGTGACAGCTGGTACAAATCAACTTGGAGGGACAATGGACAGATGAACCCCACACAGGGGTATGTATGGCAGGGTAAGAGGAACATTCCCTGATTTAGAAAAGACTGGCCATCTGCCGGGCACCAGTGGCTCATGCCTGTAATCCTAGCGACTCAGGAGGCTGAGATCTGAGGATTGTGGTTCAAAGCCAGCCCAGGCAGGAAAAGTCTGTGAGACTCTTACTTCCAGTAAACCACTCAAAGTTGGAAGTGGTGCTGTGGCTTAAGTGGAAGAATGCTTGCCTTGAGCTGAAGAGTTGAGGGACAGCAGCCAAGCCCAGAGTTCAAGCCCCATAAATGACAAAAAAAAAAAAAAGAAAGAAAGAAAGAAAGAAAAGACTGGCCATTAACTTCCCTCAACATCTGGTCATGAGACCAGGATGCAGAGGTCTCCATTACTTTCCCAGCCTCAGTGGCAGCAATAAGTCAGCAAATCAGTCCAGTCTTTTCTTCTACCATTGGAAAAAGACATAAAGAATTTTAGAACAGGGAGAGATTTTCAATGGATTCTTGAAAGTCACCTGAATTTACAAATTCATGCTCAGCTGGATGTGATAAAACACCCAACCCAGCACTCAGGAGGCTGAGGGCAGGAGGATCAAAAGTTGGAGGCCAGTCTGGGCTTCCTAGTTAAAAGTCTCTCTGAAAAGAAAAAACAAAACCGGGGCTGGGAATGTGGCTTAGTGGTAGAGTGCTTCCCTTACATGCATGAAGCCCTGGGTTTGATTCCTCAGAACCACATACACAGAGAAAGCAGGAAGTGGTGCTGGGGCTCAAGTGATAGACTGCTAGCCTTGAGCAAAAGAAGCTCAGGAACCAGTGCCCAGGCCCTGAGTTCAAGCCCCAGGACTGGAAAACAACAACAAAACCCCACCATCACTTCTTACTAATTCCAAAAAGTCGGTTCGGTTCACATTTTTCTCTTTCCTACTATCTGTGAGTTAGAATTCTTGGTACTAACAGGAAATAGAATCCTTTTTCCTATGGACGCAAAATTTCAAGTCTTGTCTTAGAGAGGACACTGCGATGCCTGCTCAGGATAGGTGGATCATTAAGTTCTTCTCATTAAGTAACTTGAGAGGAAGGTACTGCAGTGATGAGCGAGGTTAAATGTTTTCCTTATGTCTTAGCACTCTGTCGCAGGCGGTGGTGATTTGTAGGAAGAACCATGAGGTGACAAGGCATCCCCCACCCCTTTTGCTGCCTGTCCTTAGATGTTACGGGTAGTTCAAGAAAGGCTTCCCTAAAGCATGTCGGAAAAAAAGAAACATACTCATTACTAGACTCATGAAATGGTAAACCCTCTGCACACCACCTTAATTTTTGTGTTTGCTTTTTGGTTGTGGGGCCTCTACTCTGGGCCTGGGCACTGTGCCTCAGTTCTTCAGCTCAAGGTTAGCACTCTACCACTTGAACCACAGAGCCACTTTCGGTTTTTTCTCCTTATGTGGTCCTGAGCAATCGAACCGAGGGTGTCATGCGTGCAAGGCAAGCATTCTACCACTGAGCCACCTTCCCAGCCCTATCCTTAACAATAATAATAATGATAGAATTGTAATTAAAAGCAAAAAGGAAAAACAAAGGCTTCTCTTGTTCCACTGTGTCCTAACCCAACAATGCTTCTGAGCAGCGACCCCATCTTTGCACTCCCTAGGCCAGGGACAGCACCTTCCTTTGTAAAGGGCAGACGGTAAATATGGTTTCTGCTGTGATTACTCAACTTTGCAGTTGTGTTCAACAGCCATAGGCCACTCCTGACCTGGCTCAGTGTGGAGGGCTTATTGAAGTGTTCCAATATCACTTGCCACAAGTAGAAGTCTGGGTATGGCCTGAGCTGGGAACAGGACAGTCCACAGGCTGTCAGCATCTACCTTCCTCCCTGTTTTGGACACTAACATGGGCTGAAGATGAGGCACAGAGAGAATCCCAAGTCTCTCATTTTAAGGGAGACAATTAGCTCAGTGCTGGTGACTCACACATAAAAAAACTGCTACTTGCCCCTCATTTCTGACCAAAAAAAAAAGGAGAATGGTATTAAGCCTTTCCAAAAGGAAAGGGGTGCTGGGGGTTTTAGTGAGGTTATTTTTTTTTTTTTTAAATACAATATTACAGGGAATTTAATGGCGGAGACGGGGGGGGGGGGGGGGAATCGAATATGAAACAAACTAGTTCTAAGTGTAAGGCAGAGGGTGACTTCACTTTTGGGTAAAACAAAAAAACTATACATGTGCACAAACATCTGAAATATCAACACTAGTAGTAATCCTGTCTAGTGATTATTTTTCCCATCACTTCTGTTTTCTAGAATACTTATTTGATATCAAAGGTACTTACTGCATAGCGACAGTCATTAATGCCAGGAATTAGGAATCCAAGAAGCTCAGACGTCAAGGTTTGTAATCCAAGAGGTCTAGGTGGTCAAACCCAGTTCATTCCCTTTCCCACAACACTTTTCATCCCATGGTTTCCTCATTTGATATTCTATGAAATTATACTCAATGTGACTCTTTTCCTGACCTCTTTTCATTTGCCAGCCACTGCAAACGCATTTCTGTTTCAGACTGGTTTTAAGAGGTAATTTTTGCTAGTGAGGTTAATTTACAGCCACATTTCTGGGGGCCAAAGTGGAAGTTAAAAAAAAATTATGAAGGGGCTGGGAAGGTGGCTCAGTGGTAGATGCTTGCCTTGCATGCATGAGGCCCTGGGTTCGATTCCTCAGCACCACATAAGCAGAAAAAGTGGAAGTAGTGCTGTGGCTCAAGTAGTAGAGCGCTAGCCTTGAGCTGAAGAGCTGAGAGACAGCGCCCAGGCCCAGAGTTCAAGCCCCACAACTGACAAGAAAAAAATAATAAAAAAATTAAGATATCAAATATTTTGATGGAGATGAGACCCAGAAAATCCAGCACTAACAGTTATCTATAGACATTCTTGAGCACCACAGGGTTGAATTCTGGTTGCAGGAGATGATACAACAAGCCTTGTGCTTACTGTCACACTGAAGATGGAGAATAGGTGCTTAGCACTGTAGTTGGTATGCTGGTTTCATCAGCTTAGAAAGCGTGCATGGAAGCCAGGCATGGTGGCTTATGCCTGTAATCCTAGCAACTCAGAAGGCTGAGATCTGAGGATCATGGTTCCAAGCCAGCCTGGACAGACAAGTACCCATAAAACTTTCTCTCTCTCTCTCTCTCTTTTTTTGGCCAGTCCAGGGCTTGAACTCAGAGCCTGGGCACTGTTCCTGATCTTCTTTTTGCTCAAGGTTAGTGCTCTACCACTTGGGCCACAAAGCCACTTCCAGCTTTTTCTATTTATGTGGTACTGAGGAATTAAACCCAGGGTTTCACACCTGCTAGGCATGCACTCTATCACCAAGCCACATTCTCAGCCCCCCATGAGACTCTTATCTCTAATTAAGCACTCAAAAACCAGAGGTGGTGCTGTGGCACAAGTAGTAGAACACTAGCCTTGAGCACAAGATGCTCAGGGACAACACCCAGGCCCTGAGTTCAAGCCCCACAACTGACTAAAAAAAAAAAACTCCAGCCCCTCCCCCCCCCCCCCCCAAGAAAGCATGTATGGAGGGACGGCTGCATGTATGGAGGGACGGCTGTGTAGCTTAAGTGGTATGGGGCTTACCTAACAAATGCAAGGTCCGGATTTCAAACTCTAGTACCACCAAGAATAAAAAGAAATGGTAAAATATCTGTAAGCATTCTTATAGGGTGGCCTCCCATTCCCTGATTATTTGGCTACTATCTTATATCCATATACTATATGGAGTATAGCAGACAGATGCTCAAGCATATGTAGACAGTAAAACATTGTATTAGGGAGAAATATCTAAAACGGGATACAACTGGATACTAGTTTTTACTAAGGACTGAAAAATACTTTCATTGGGAGGTTGGGGGGAGTACTGGGGTTGGGATTAGTGCTTGTTAGGCAGTTGCTTAACTGCTTGAGCCATACTCCCAGGCTTTTCTGTTTTCTTTTTCGCGTCTGGTCGTGGGGCCTGAACTCTGGGCCTGGGCACTGTCCCTCAGCTCTTCAGCTCAAGGCTAGTGCTCTACCACTTGAGCCACAGCGCCACTTCCGGCTTTTTTCTTTTTGCTTATGTGGTGCTGAGGAATCGAAACCAGGGCCTCATGCATGTAAGGCAAGCGCTCTACCACTGAGCCACCTTCCCAGTCCCGCTTTTCTGTTTTCTTGACACAGGGTCTCACTATATAGCCTAATCTATCCTGGAATTTGCGATTCTCTTGCCTGCCTGTGCCTCCCAAGTGCTGCTGGAATTACAGGTGTGCATCACTACGCCAAGTAAGAAAAAGCTTCTTTAAGTGATACGTTCTATCATCTACTTATCTCCTTAAATAATGAGCTGATGATTCAACAAACCTGTATTTTTTCCTACTGTTAGTTTTGAGAGCAAGCCATAGAAGCACCAAACAGAACCAGATCTGCCCATGTTGGTAAGAACTCTACTACTCATGTGATTGCTTTAGATTGCAGTTGTTTATTCTCGCACCCCCCTCCCCCTCCCCTGGACAAATTTAAGCTGTGCCATCTGCTCTGTAGTCATATCCACCGAGCTCCCCTCCACCTGAGCTTTCGTCCATCCCCCATCCACATTACTTCCGCCAGCGCTGCAGCTCTTTGAACAAAAGAGACAAACCAAACGTAAGAATCCAAGGTGCCACATCTAAGGTTTCTTTTGTCTCTATGGACCACTCTGTTATATATTTTTTCCTTCCTTCTTCTATCCTTCCCTCCCTTCTTCCCTCCCTTCCTCTCATCCCCTCTTCTCTCTCTCCCTCTCTTTTCTGGGTGTGTGCTGGAACTGCAGCTTGAACTCAGGGCCTGTCACTCTTGTTTGGCTGTTTCACTCTACCACTTGAGTCATACCTCCACTTCCAGCTTTTTGCTGGCTACATGGAGTTAAGAGTCTTGTGAACTTTTCTGCCTCAGCAGGCATAGAACTGTGATCTCATATCATAGGAGTAGCTTGGATCGTAAGCATGAGCCTATATTTTTCTTTTATAAATTTACAGAGCTTTTTAAGAAGGGGGGCTAGGGAGAAGGAGAGTGATTGAGGAGGTGATCTCAGAGTACACTGTATGCAGATGTGGAAATATACTAGTGCATGCTAATTAAAAGGGACGTGAAAACTAGCACTTACACTAATGAAGGACACCACCAACCAAACCAGCTCTTCCAGACCACAAAAACTGAGGGCATCCCCCATTTTCTGGGAGAAGCGACTGCTTTAATGTACTGATACCATCCTTTACCGGCAGCCAGGTATCTCATGCAAGAACTGGCATCTATGCCATGCCACTCAGCACCTAAGTGTGCTGCGGCTCCATTCCTGCTCAAGACCTGCCCTTCTGCTCACCAGGCAGAAGCAATCGACAAACATCCAATGAGACTCGAATCATGACTAAAAAGCTCTGTCCAGGGGCTAGGAGAGTGGCTCAGTGGTAGAGCGCTTGCCTTGCATGCATGAGGCCCTGGGTTCGATTCCTCAGCACCTCATAAGCAAAAAGAAAAAGCCGGAAGTGGCACTGTGGCTCAAGTGGTAGAGCGATAGCTTTGAGCTGAAGAGCTGAGGGACAGCGCCCAGGCCCAGAGTTCAGGCCCCACAACCGGATCCCCCCCCAAAAAACAAAACAAAACAAAAAACTCTGTCCAGTTGTGGATTCCACAGGTTTTGAGTGAGACAGGTTTTTAGTATCATCCAAGCTGCCTTATGCTTTTACACTCTGAATTTTCATCTTTTGAAAGAGGCTGTTTTTTTCTTCTAAATTACAGAAAACACCTATAAGCTTTCTTTTAATAAAAAACAGGGGCTTAGCCGGACGCTAGTGGCTCACCCCCGTAATCCTAGCTACTCAGGAAGCTGAGATCTGAGGATCGTGGTTCAAAGCCAGCCTGGGCAGGAAAGACCGTGAGAGTCCTATCTCCAATAAACCACTCGAAAACCGGAAGTGGCGCTATAGCTCAAGTGGTAGAGCACTCACCTTGAGCTGAAATGCTGAGGGACAGTGCCCCAGCCCAGAGTTCAAGCCCCATGACCAACAAAAAAAACAAAACCAGGGGCTTTTTTTTCTTCTAAATTACAGAAAAGTACTGACAGTCACCTATAAACTTTTTTAAATAAGAAGTTTTAAGAATTGATTTTTATAAGTTAAATGAACAAAAATTATATTGAATTAAAAGAATAATGAAATTTTTTCATTTTCCTTTTGGTTAAGACTTGGTACAAGTTGAAGCTCCTAACTAGAAGGGAGCTGGTAGCTCACACCTGTAATGCAGCTACTCGGAAAAGGCAGAGATCTGAGGATCAAAGTTCAAAGCCAGCTTGGATAAACAAATCCATGACACTTTAATTTCAGATTAACCAGCATAAAGCCCTAAGTGGACCTATGGTTGAAGTGGTAAAGTGCTAGCCTTGAGTGAAAAAGCCAAGCAAGAGAATAAGGGACCTGAATTCAAGCAACACATAGTTGTAGCTGCAGTATCTACATAGCAAGGCTCCATTTTTTTTTTTTTTTCAATTCTTCTCTGGTGGCACTGGGGTTTGAACTCATGGCTTTATGCTGGTTTGCTTGGTCAATGCTCTACCACTGGAGGCAAGGCTCCATCTCACAGTCAATTAAATAAATAATGTAGATTAATATGCTGTCTTAAGCACAGGGATGAATCCATGTAGGGAAATAGTTTATAGAAGACCACTAGAGCCCCAGTGCCTGAGTAAATGTGCAGTTATGTAAATGTCAATCAATATACAGGCCTTAAGGAACAAAAACAGGCAGTAACTTCTCATTTACTCAGGCATGCCAGACACTGTGAGAGTACTATGAAAAGCCACTTAAAGCCCCCATAATGGGAGGACCTGTCATTTATATTACAAGGGTGGGAGAGCTTACTCAGATGCTTGAAACTCCAGCTACAACCCAGGAGGAAGTACCCTGTGAAAAGCATTGTGATGCCACCAACTCTGCTCTTCTTTATGGTGGTGTTACACATGATCCAGCCTGTTCAGAGAGAGACATGGCACAGGTTATGATGTAGTAGAATGTGGTCTGTCATCTGGGATACCCAGTTATCCAGTAAGTCTGGACAAGGGGATTGAAATCCACACGATTTACACGTGTACACACTATACACACATATATAAACAGGTGAAATAAATCCCAGTGTTCTTATATCAGGGAGCCTGGTTTAACACTTTCAGTAGGGCAGAGACTAATGAGACTGGCTAAGTGGTGCCAAGTTTCAAGGGCAGAGACTAATGCAATTGGCTAAGTGGCACTGTCCAGGCTTTGGGAAGAAGCGTGATCACTGTGGCGAGAGGCAGAGGGAGGTATAGGTAGGCAGGTACTCAGGGAGGTATGAACAAGCAAAAGCTGTTCAATGCATGGTAGCTGCTGCTCTATCAGCTTGGGTGCTTCAATTTATGTCTGACTCCAAAATGGAAACAGAGAGCAGGTGACAGCCATGGCTTTCCTCTACCTTTGCCTTGGCTCTACCAGCCTACAGCGAAAGAGCACTTCTCCCAAAGCCTGGAGCCAGTTTCTGAACTCAACCATCAATCACTCCAGCCTCACCTTTGTGCAGAGCGCCCAAGAGTCTCGTTACAGGGAAGTTGGAGGTTGTAAGCCCAGTCGGGGGTTCCAAACTCTTTACACCAGCCGAGCTTCTTTCCAACAAAAGAACTAGGGTTCCAAACAGAAGTCACTGTGATAGCTCATCTGAGTTCACCCCTTCCCCAACACGCAGAGCCACGGTTCTCAGGCATGAGCCTCAAGACAGTACACATTCTCAACAGTGGGGTACTAGTTTCTGCTTTGGATTGTTGTTAACCTCGCCTTGAAGGTCAGATCTATTCCAGTCAAAAGGTTGTTCCAGGCTGGGTGCTGGTGGCTCGTGGCTATAACCTGAATTACTCAGGAGGCTGATATCTGAGGATCGCAGTTTGAAGCCAGCCCAGGCAGGAAAGTCTGAGACATATCTCCAATAAACTACTTAAAAAAAAAAAAAAAGCTGGAAGTGGAGCTGTGGCTCAAGTGGTAGAGTGCTAGCCCTGAGCAAAAAGCAGTTGGGGAATAGTGCCCAGGCCTTGAGTTCAAACCTCAGGACCTGCACACACACACAAAAGCTGGAGGGCTGTGGCTGTGGCTTAGTACTGGCATGTATAAGACCCTGGGTTTGATCCTCAGCACTACAAAAAACAAAACACTACAAACCTCCCTCCCACAAAGTATGACCCCATGAGAACTCTGTGGTGCAAGGATTTTCAGCAGTTTTGGGAACCACGTGATTCCCTGATCTTGTTCCCCTCCAGTCAGCTGAACAGTAGGTTCAGGTCAGGTGTGATTGTGTAAGCAGCAGCTCAGGGAGGCACTGGCCTGGCACTCACAGGCCTAGAGTAGTTTCTCAGATCTTTGCTGCCTGCCACCCAGGCCCACTAGGTCTCGCTGACGCCCCTACTGTCTACCCACTTCCATCAGAGCCTCTGCTGCCCCACCTCAACTTGTGTGTGGGATCTTATCGGCCAGGATTTACTCCCTTCACTCCAGTGATCTGATGGGGTTAAGCACACAGGGACCATGGTCCCAGGGTCTGATGAAACTACTGAAAACCCTCACCCAATCTCTACACCATCCCTCACGCCTATTCTAAGTCATAGATATATGACCTCACTCACCCCTTCTGCTGGCTGTCCGTTATGCACAGGCTTATTTGTCCAGGACCCTTGATCTGTGTTTGGTCTAAGACACCTTTTCAGAGTCCTTGGCTGGCAGTGGGTCTGGAACCAGGTTGTCACACACCTGTTGGTTTGTTTAGTAGTACTGTGGTCTGAACTCAAGGCTAGTACTACTTAGGTGGGCTACACTGCTTGAGCCACATCTCTAGTTTTTGCTCCCGCTCCCATGATCTGCGCTAGGGTCCTGTGAACTTTTTGCCTCAGCTGGCTTTGAACCATGATCTTCCTAGTGTCACCCTCTTAAGTGGCTAGGATTATAGGCTGAAGCCCAAGCCCTACGCATATTTGGCTCATTTCTAACCTAATTACACATAATCCTTCCTCACATATGGTCATCTGGGTTGAACTCCAATAACTGTCTTGTATTTTCTTATTTTTTCAGGCAGGGTCTTGCTATACAGTTCAGGCTGGTCTGAATTCACTGTTGTCCTGTCTAAGTGCTGGGTGTGTGCCACTATGTTTGGCTTAGATGCCTTTGTTATAAGAGGGTAAGACAACAATACAAACCACAATGCTTCTTTCTTTTTTGGATGGTAAGAGTTAGAACTTAGGGCCTTAGCCTTGCTAGGCAGGAGCTCTATCACTGAGTCATGTTTCCCCTACCCCGTTTAGAATGGTTATTTTCAAGTGTCTTCCATTTCTGCCCAGGATGGCCTGGGCTACAATCCTCCTCCTAATGCCTCCTTTGTAGCTACATACAACCACATCCAAACTTTTCTGTTGAGAAGGGACCTCCCCTCCCCCCCCCTGCACCCCTCTACCCCCAGCTGCGAAGGCTGGCCTTTTCCTCTAAAATGAGGTTTACTATTTGGCACTATAACAGACAGTACAGAAAATAAAAACAGCTTTCTATTTGTTAGAGAAAATTAATCATGAGCTAAGTGTGTGAACATGCAATTAACACACAGAAATATGGAGCTATCTTAATCCCCTGTTTCACCCTACCTGTGCTTTCTACCATCTGGTTTAATGGAAAGCATTAAGCTAGGAAACTAAGTTCTACTTGCAATTCTACCACTTATTCTGTCTGTGCCTGTTACATTATTTCCATAATAAAGATGGAAACTCTAGGGAAGCTGCAAAGCATCAGTGTTAGTATCCTGAAGCTTGTGTTCAGATTGGACCAGAAGCAGATCTTGAGGCTACAACTTTGTACAAAAGGTCTAGACCACTGGGTGCTGGAGGCTCATGCCTGTAATCCTAACTACTCAGGAGGCTGAGATCTGAGGATGGCCATTCAAAACTAGCCTGAGCAATTAACCACAATAATAGCTGGACGCAGAGATGTGGCTCAAGTGGTAGAGCATTAGCCTTAAGCACAAAAGCTCAGAACCACCACTCAGGCCCAGAGTTCAAGCCCCATGACTGGCAAGGAAAAAAAAAATTACCAGCCAGTCCTAGTCTAATCTTCAACTTTTTTCTTTTTTTTTTCTCTCGGTTGTGGGGCCTGAATTCTGGGCCTGGGTGCTGCCCCTGAGCTCTTCAGCTTTACCACCTGAACGACAGCACCACTTCTGGCCTTTTCTGCTTATGTGGTGCTGAGGAATTGAACCCAGGGCCTCATATGCATGAGGCCTTGCCCATGAAAGGCAAGCACTTTACCACCGAGCTACCTTCCTAGCCCCAATCTTCAACTCTTGATGGAGGAAAAAGATACAGGATAAAGCATTATTACTGATTGATCTTTGGAGTGAGAACTAATATTCTCACAAGTGTACATTCAGTGCAATGGGCTGTATAGGCAAAGATAAGTTAAACGAATGAAAATATTAGCATTGTGACCTTACCAAGAAGATACCATAAGCTTACCTTGTGAAAGATGTCCCCCCAGGGGACTGGCAAGCTGGGGTCTCTGGGCCACTGAGTTCCAAAACCGAGGCTTCCTTGGCAACACCCCTAATTCAACATATCCAGGATAGAGATCTGGAAACCACTCCAGCCCCATGGGACTGGGAGGGGGCTTTCTGTCAATAGCAATATGACTGACGAGGGAGCTTTTAGAAATATACTGGGTAGACTGCTGGTTTAATGCTTGATGGTGACAGGCAGAGTAAGGCTCCAAGGCAGGGAGTACCTGCCCTTCTAGTAAGAGGTTGACATTGGGGACCTGATTATGACCACAGACTTGCACTTTCTCTCCTTGAAGACCTTTCATGGACAGAGAGGCAAGATTCTGATGGTCTGATGGTGATACACAAAGAAACTCATTGTATGTTGCCTCTCGCAGAGAGAACAGGTTTAAAAGTGAATCTCCAGCTTGCTGTTTCTCCTTGGTGGCAGAGGTGCCAGTGAAGTTCTTACAGCCACCGCTCACAGAAGCCCGTTCCTGCAAATCTGTCACAAGCATGCTGTCCTCAGCATTTCCCTGGGCCCGACGTACCTCCACTCCACAGCCAAGTCCCACAACTTGGTTCTCAACTGAAATTGGATTTAATGGGTTGGGGTGAGGGCCTAAAACAAGTGATTCTGAGTTCTTTCCCTGAGCCTCAGGGTTTCCAATGTCAGCAGAGTGTGCTGGCACATAGCTTCTGTCTCTGGAATCACTCTTGTTCAACATTGATGCTCTCACTGTTTGTATTCCATCATTGAGATTCTTCAGAGAATGATGACAATCACTTGTACGTACAGTTAATGATTTTACTAGAAGCCCTTGTCTTTGGGGCTCAATTGTGTCTAACTTTACATGCATAGGATTGGCTTGTACATCATTTGGTGCAGCTAAGGAGTATTTTCTACCTTGATTCGACAAAGGCTCTGTTGAACTACTGGGTAATGATACTTCTGTTTCTAAAGAATTCGACTGGATTTCCTCTGATTTAGGCAAACCTTTGCCAAGTTCTTGTTTAGGAGAAGAGTTAATTGAAGGATAAGACTGAGCCTTAGTTTTTCTCCGGAAGGTAATCTTTGGTTTGGTGTATTTTAACACTCTGAAGGAAAGGTGACTTTGAGCCTTGATGTCTACACCCACCTTTGGAGTACTTGCTCTTTGCAAGTCAGTATCTTGTAGTGGAAAGGATGCTACTGTCCTTTCCAGTTTGTTGTTTATTGATTTGGTATTTCTTTTCTCATCCTCTATTTCTAGTTCTTTCCTCTTAGTTAAGTCTTTGGTCGGCCTTTCCACTTTTTTAACACCTGGGACAGTAGCTGGCCTGGACTGATGAACTTTCTGATCAGCAGGTATGGTCAATTCGGTCATTTTACAGTATGGCAAGTGAGATTTTAATCTTTTAAATGGCTTCTTACAGTAAGGACACTCTTCCATTTTGGGCTGGATATCACTTATCTTCTTCCTGAAAAAGATAAAATGTTAGAAAATGAGGCCAGGAACTGATGGCTTATGTCAGTAAATCCTAGCTACTCAGGAGGCTGAGATTTGAGGGTCACAACTCAAAGCCAGCCTGGGCAAGTCTGAGAAACAATTACTTGCTTATCTCCAACTAATTACTAAAGAGCTAGATATGCAGCTGTAGCTCAAGTGTTAAAAGTGTCAGCATTAAGCAAAAAAGCTAAGGGATAGCACCCAGGCCTTGAGTTTAAGCCCTAGTACTGGCACAAAATCAACAAAAAAGGAGGCACACATAGCCTAAACGGTAAATACTGACATTTTATGTGTGAATCTTATCTCTTAAACTAATTTGCAACAACCTAGGTTAAAGGAAACTTTAAGCTTTCCTTTTTTTGGTAGATAGCAAAAAGAAGACATAGTATAGTTTTAAAACAAACATTTCTGGTATGCTTGTATTTTATATTTCAAGTCTTCAAGAAATGAATCATATAAAAGACAACCCAGAGAATTTTCAACATCCCTAATGAGTGAGCAAGGCCAAAAGACTTAAACTTAATAAATTAATAGTCTGGGAAAAGTTGGTCAAAATAGTAGGCAGAGTAAAAGTGTTCGATATTCACACCAACAGGATATTATGTGAGTATAAAATTGTTTAAAAGACTTTAAATACATCACTCAAGGATGAAATGATGAATTAAAAAAAAAAAAAGGGCAAGTTTCCAAAGTGAATAAGAAAGAGGAAAGATCCACTGGGTTCAAGAAGAGACTATCAGAACTTCCATTCTCTTGAGCAAAAAAAAAAAAAAAAATGAAGCTGACATTTTGCATTATTAGTAGCATGCATGTATGTGCATGCCCATATATAAACTGCACATATAATACGTAAGTAAAAAAAAACCACAACCAAGGAGTGTCCAAACTTTCAGTAACCATTACTGGCAAATTTGTTAAATGTATATACCAAGTAAGGAAGCTTTAATTCATACTAAGGCCTGGTGCCAGTGGTGCATGCCTGTAATCCTAGCTAATCAGGAGGCTGAGATCTGAGGATTGTGGTTCAAAGCCAGCCCACACAGAAAAGTCCCTGTGAGACTCCAATTACCACTCAAAACCCAGAAGTGGCCCTGTGGCTCAAAGTGATAGAGTGCTAGTCTTGAGGAAAAGAGCTCAGGGACAGCACCCAGGCCCATTCAAGCCTTACAACTGACCCCCCAAACTCCAAAACCCACAAACAAACAAATTTTCATACCACATGTCAGTTGTACTTGTTATTCTCAATAGTTGGAAAATAATTCCAAAGCTCTGATGAAAGTTATTAATATTTTTGTGCCAGTACTGGGGCTCGAAGTCAGGGCCTAATGATCTCCTTGGCTATGTGCTCTCATTTGGTGTTTTTCACTCAAGGCTAGCACTCTCCCACTTGGATCACACATCCACTTCTGGTTTTTTGCTTGTTAGAAGTAAGTCTCTCAGACTTGCCAAGGCACAGATCTCAGTCTCCTGAATAGCTAGGATTACAGGCACGAACCAAGGGCTCCCGGCTTATTATTTTAACATTTCTTTCTGTTTCTCTAAGATTCCAGAAGGCAAAGACATATCTATTTTGAGCATAAGTGGAATCTTAAAAAAACTAGCATTTGAGCCTGGCATATATTTGTTTAATGAATCCTTTCTCTAGACATAAACGTGCCAGTATTACACAGTTCTGTTCTTTAAATTGATCATAAATGCAGATCTGGAAATAAAGTACCTGTTATCAAAGCCACTTCATCTTACATGAAGTTATGCAAAAATAACTTTTCTGCCAACAAAATCCACAGTGCCAATTCCTCTTTTCTGAGGTATACACTGATAATAGGGCAAAAGCTATAGACTGTGTATTTGTGAAATAGCACACAAGCGTATCCGATCCATGGGCTTTCTGCTAGAAACTTTAGGAATCACTGAGATCCTATTGTTTCAGTCCTCCATCGTCCATTTCAGGTGCCTTTTTTTTTTTTGGGGGGGGGGGGTGGGTCAGTTGTGGGGCTTGAACTCTGGGCCTGGGCACTGTTCCTCAGCTCTTCAGCTCAAGGATAGCACTCTACCACTTGAGCCACAGTGCCACTTCTGGTTTTCTGAGTGGTTTACTGGAGATAAGATTCTCACCGCCTTTCCTGCCCGAGTTGGCTTTGAACCGTGATCCTCACATCTCAGCCTCCTGAGTAGCTAGGATTACAGGCGTGAGCCACCAGCGCCCGGCTTTCAGGTGCCTTTGGAGACAGCATCTTAACCTGAGTGTTTTTCTTACCCGAGCTCTGTTAGGACGATGCTAATTCTGCTGCTGTTTCTTCTGGATCTTCATGATTCTGGACCGTCGTTCCCGAGTTCGACAGAAAGAAACTCTGAACTTCAGCCTATGTAATGAGATACAGCGAGGAACTGTGGCCCAGTACCGAACCCAATACAAACTGGATTATCTGCAGGCGCTGGTGGCTTCACGCCTGTAACCTTAGCTATTCAGGAGGTTGGGATCTGAGGATCGAGGTTCGAAGCCAGCGCGAGTAAAAGTCCAGTTGGACTCTTATCTCCAATTAACCAGCAAAAAAAAAAAAAAAAAAAAAAAGCCGGAAGGGGAGGCGTGGCTCAGGCGGTAGAGTGCTAGCCCGGGGCGCCACAGCTCAGGGTCACTGCCCTGAGTTCCAGCCCCAGGGTGGGCACATTAAAAAAAGCAACATTCCGCCACCAGGCGGATCCCACCGCTTTGCCCTTGCTCCCAGGCCTGGGTTTACCTCCCTTTATCCCGGCCCGGGGGCCCGGGGACCCGGAGGGCCGGGAACCGGGGGTCGGGTCGGGACCCCGCCCCCCACGATCCCCACGGGAGGCTCCAACCAGCCCCTCCCCGGACGACCCATCCCTCGGTCGCCTCGGGGTGTCTTCCCGGAAACAGCCCCTCCCCTCAGGACTCACTGTGGACCAGAATTCGCGACTCCGGCGACCCCCAGGCCCACCGAGCGCCGGCGTCGAGCCCCCGAAGCCCACCGGCGCCGTCCCAACCCCCGGACTCGCGGCAGGTCGTCCGCATCAATGCCTGATGGCGCTCTCCTAGTTCCTTTAAACTGTTACCCACCAGAATGGACTCAAAATACTTGCATCACTTACTACACTATAAGCTAAATCATTTAAACTCCGGTGTGGTTTTGTTCCAAGGTGTTTCGCTTTGGCTGCGGACAGGCGAACGCCTAGACCACCTCCGCAGAGGTCCTCTTTCTCAGAGGCTTCCAGTCGCGCCTTCCCTCCCTCTCCTCCCCCTCCCCCCTCAGAGCCCGCCTCTTTCCCGTGGGCGGGGCCAGAGCTCGGCGTCGTGGGGGCGTCGCGCCACTGCGCAGCCGCAAGGGGGCGGTACCACGGCGGTGCGACATGGGGGGGCGCGGAGGAGACGCCGGAAGTGGCAGTGGTACGAGTCCGACTGAGGGGTTCTCACTGCCGGCGTCCTCCACCCGCGCGGCGGCCAGAGCCAAGGCCCGAGGGGGTGGGCGTGGCGGACGCCGGAACACGACCCCCTCCGTCCGCTCTCCGCGCGGGGCGGCGCAGCGTCGCTCCCCTCCACCAGCTGCCATGAGCGAGCGCCTCCGCCCTAGGTGAGACGGAAGGGACCCCCGTCCTTTCCGGCCCGTCGCCGGAGGATCCGCGGGGTGGAGCCGAGGGGCCGCCCGCGTCCTGCGGGTCGAGCTCCGGGCGGCGCGGCCGGCCGAGGGAGGAGAGAGGGACGCGCGAGTGGCTGCAGCCCTGGTTGTCGGTGGGCAGCCCGGAGGGGTTGACATGTCGGGGTTCCAGGTCTCCCCTCATCAGTCTGGTTCGGAACGAGCTCCGTTGGGTCCTGGAAGGAGGACGGTGGTCCCGAAGCTTCCCGGTCCCGTATTTAGGCAGGTGGGAGGGGGATGGGAGGAATGTTCTCGAGTGAGGGAGCCCCTGCAGGCGCCTGGGAGGGCACGGGGGAACCTGCCTGCACCCCCCCCAAGGTCAGGTGGAAAGGGGGTTGGGCTTAGTTGAACCCGGCAGCCGGGACGGATTAGGGTAGCCCGCCGGGCTGACGGTGAACCCGGCAGGGCCCAGGTCCAAGATGGGTCGTGATTCCCTCGGCGCCGTAGCCTGAGCAGGCAGCATTCTAAACTGTGGGTGCAAGGCCGTTTGACTCGGAAGGCGAGGTAGAGTTACAGTGGGAGTTCGGCTGATAACCCTCCCACCCAGCCAGGCCTCAAGGCTGCGGGTCTTCACCCAGGCAGTAGTCCAGGCCCAAGCCGGACTTCTTTCTTTTTTCCTCCTCTCCCCTCTCTTGTTTTCTTTTCCTTTCCATAAGGAGTCGAGGAGGAGGAGGAAGTAGACGTGCGTGTATCCCTGAGTGAAGCTTTAATTCTCAAATTGGGGGGGGAAATTCACCATCACCATGGAGCTTGAAGTGGAAAACTGGATCACTAAGTTCTTTTTTTTTTTTTTTCTTCCCATTTTTCTGAGGAGATGGATTTTGAAAGGTCACTTGGTTTGCCTGGGTCTCTGAATTTTCCTTTATTTCCTATTAGTCTCAGGCTGAAGTAAATTGGCTTATAGGATTCCCTCGGTAGATTATACTAGATCTTCTCTTGTTCCTTGATTTCATTGGTGGTGAATGTAATTGGCAACTTTTTCCGCAAAGGCTCTTCTCTGTAACGTTTTTACTTCGTGGGATTGAGGTTCTTTAAAGCATCCTGAGGTTATTTGTTTTTCTTGTAGTGAAAACCTAGGGGGTCCTACACCTCATTAGATAATTGATTTGGATCATGTAGACAGAAACATAAAACCTGGACTATAGAAAGGAAGAGTGGGCTATTTGAAATTGCAAGATGCCTTCAAATTATAATCTGGTCGTGGTAGTAATGCCAAAACATATCATCTGTGAGTAGGGAGGAACATGAAACAGCAGTCTTGGCAATTATTAGCAAGATTTTTGAAAAGTTTGAATTAGACCAAACTGAAATTATGGCTCAATGACATGCCATCAGAATCAAAACATTTAGATGTAGTAAACTGAATCCAGCTGTCTGGTGTGTGTGTGTGTGTGTGTGTGTGTGTGTGTGTGTGTGTGTGTGTGTGTGTGTGTGTGTGTGTGTGTGTGTGTGTGTGTGTGTGTGTGTGTGTGTGTGTGTGTGTGTGTGTGTGTGTGTGTGTATAGTTCTTAATTTTCAAAATCAATTTGTATTTCTAATATTTTTTGGGGTGTCTCCCAAATCTAAAAAAGGCAAGTTTTTCCCACCAAAAAAAGATTCCTTTTAACCAGTACCATACACAAACAATGTGTTTCTACTGATAGCAGATTCTTTTTATCTCTTACATACACAAATAATCCCAATACATTTTATTAGAGTCACCTTGAACAGTCTTTTCCTTGCCTGCTTCTCTCTTGTATTTCGTGGAGTATGATGGACCAGTTTTGCCAGCTCCAGCTGTTCACATCTCTGGATCTGTTTCCTCAATCTTAAGATGAAAGGTTGATCTAAGACAGTTTTTGAAACTATTCCACAGTAGACCACAATGGTTGTAGAGAAGTGGGTGTATGGTCTGTACTTTACAACAGATTCCTAACTTTAGGATATGCTGAAGTTTTCTCGCCCCAGTAAGAAGGAAGAGTTCTTTTTGTTTTTTAAAAAGTGAAAACCAATTTCCATTCTCTTAAGATTACTTCTTCAAGGTTTAGAAATTGAAAGGTTAGGGGTTGGGAAGGTGGCTCAGTGGCTTGCCTTGCGTGCCTGAGGCCCTGGGTTCGATTCCTCAGCACCACATACGCAAAAAGAAAAAAGAAAAAAGCCGGAAGTGGCACTGTGGCTCAAGTGGTAGAGCACTAGCCTTGAGCTGAAGAGCTGAGGGACAGCGCCCAGGCCCAGAATACAGGCCCCACGAAGGACCCCCCCCCCCAAAAAAAAAAAAAAACTGGAAAGGTTAAAAATGAAATAAGTCATGGAGTAAGCCACCTTTCAGAATAACATGTCAGAGTCATCTGAACTTAGGTGGGAAGGGGAGAATGTGATCAATTGTGGGGTGCCTACCAAAATTATAACCTGCTCTGAGGCATTTGTGTCAAAAGCTATAATCTGACTGACTATACAGATAGAGATAAGCATGCAGCTGTGATCTTGTCAGTTATTAACATTGTTGAAAGCAGAGAATTTGAAGGAGGGAAACTGCTAACAGCTAAGGAGATAAGAACAGGTAGGGCTCATTCTGAATCCACTACCACCCAAGAAGACCAGCCATAGGCTAGAAATCCTGTAAAAATGCAGCAGTTCAGTTGATATCCTCAGTACCAGGCTGTCTTTGTTCTTAGACTTTTTCTGCCGTGCAGCTCCCTTTCCCTCCTTGTCATTGGAAAAGTACATCCTCCGTTGCAAATGAGGAAATGGTAAATTTTGGTCAGGCTCCTAAGTTTGGTTAGTGACTCAGCAGCCCAAAATATGATCAGCTGTTAGCCTACCGATAAAATAAGAGTTCAGGGACCAGCCTGCTGCCACTGGATGAGATTTCTCTTTGGGTGTCAGATGGCTCGAGCAGAAAGGCTTTGCTACTGCAGCACATTCCCATGTAAATTCTCTGATTAGGTTGGGATGGAAGTGGAACCTTCTTGATTCAGATTTATAGTAGGATATCCATCGAATGATTATTAACCTGGTACTCATCTGACTTTAAGCTTCAAGTGCTTCAGAAATTAAGTGCAGTATTTTGTGTCTCATCTTCTGGGAGAAAGATGTGGAACAGAGATGGTCATGGAATGAGGTAAATGGTTCAGAATCATGCTCAAAAACTGGAGTCATGGAAGTGGAACTGTGGCTTAAATGGTAGAGCACTGTCCTTGAGCAAAAAAGCTCAGGCTTAGTGCCCAGGCCCAGGCCAAAAAAAAAAAAAAGCAAAAACAAAAACAAAAAACCACCCTGGGATCATACTTATGCATAAAGCTAGATTTTTTTGGGGGGAGGGGGGCTGGTCATGGGACTTGAACTTGAGCTCTTCAGCTCAAGGCTAGCACTCTACCACTTGAGCCACAGCGCCACTTCTGGTTTTCTGAGTGGTTTATTGGAGATAAGATTCTCCTGGCCTTTCCTGCTCCTGCTGGCTTTGAATTTCGATCCTCAGGCTGAGGCCTCTTGAGTAGTTGGGATTACAGGCGTGAGCCACCCGGGCCTGGCTGAAGTTAGATATTGAGAGTGTTATAGACTATAGCGAACTGAACTGAGTGAAAATTTAGTTTTCTGATATCCACACTTCAACTCAAACCCTTAGGATTCAGGATTTGTTACAGTAAGCTAGTAGTATAGATGCTATATGCTCTAAGCTTAAATACTTTACAAAAAATACTTTACAAAAGCATTAGTTGATTGTGTCTCACTAGTCTTTTGTCTCAGTTGCAGAAATGTGAGCCTCTAAGCATTTGATAATAGATGCTGTTGTACATAGTTTTCACGGTCCTGCCCAGTAAGCAAGTACATGAAAGGCCTGTCCTCTAGCTAAGCTGCATCATATAGCTTCATGTGTCATTTTGTACTGGGAATGAGACTAGACTTTAAACTAGATTTTACATTTACTTTATTCAAACTTAAGAAATAACTATGGCTAGTGGACACTGTGTTGGGCAGTGTAATTGTAGACATTTTGCCTTAAAATGATTCTCCTTTTCACTGCTTTTTTTTTTTTTTTCTTCTGGTCATGGGACTTGATCTCTGGGCCTGGGCGCTGTCCCTCAGCTCTTCAGCTCAAGGCGAGTGCTCTACCACTTGAGCTACAGCGCCACTTCTGGTTTTCTAGTGGTTTATTGGAGATAGGAGTCTCACAGTCTTTCCTGCCCGGGCTGGCTTTGAACTGTGATCCTCAGATCTCAGCCTCCTGAGTAGCTAGGATTACAGGCGTGAGCCACGGGCACCCAGCTTCACTGTTTTTTTTTTTTTTGGTTACTCACCGGCACCCAGCTTCACTGCTTTTTTTCTTTTTTTTTTTTGTTTTGTTACTGGTTTTGGAGCATGAATTCAGGAACTCAAACTCTTGGTTTGGCTTGCTTGTTCACAGCTGGCACAGTTGAGCCACACCTGCAATCCAGTGTTTTCCTGGTTAATTTGGAGATGAAGTTTTGTGGATTTTTCTTCCCAGGCTGACTTCCAACTGATCTTTCACGTCTCAGCCTCTTGAGTAGCTAGGATTACAGGCATGAGCCATTGGTACCTTGCCTTATTTCTCTCTCTCTCTCTCTCTTTCTCTCTCTATCTCTCTCTGTCCCTCTCTTCCTCCCTCCCTCCCTCCCCCTTTTCCCCCCCTCTCTACCCCTCTCCCTCTGTGTGTGTGTGTGTGTGTGTGTGTGTGTGTGTGTGATTAAAAAAAATATTTCCCCCCCTAGGATTTATTTCTTTAATCTTTAGGTTGTTATGTAAAGGAGTTGTCATTTAACAGAGCAGTTTATTAAGACAGTGTACCTTGATCAGTGTCATCCCTTTCAACACTCTCACCCATCTCTCTGCTACCTACTTTTTTCTCACTCTTCTTAGTTTTGTAGGATATATATTGGATTCTTGACTTCATTCTATCTTTTTTTGTCCACCCCTTTACCCTGTTTCTGCTTTTTTTTTGGGGGTCTGGTCGTGGGGCCTGAACTCTGGGCCTGGGCGTTGTCCCTCAGCTCTTCAGCTCAAGGGTAGAACTCTACCACTTGAGCCACAGCGCCACTGCCGGCTTTTTTCTTTTTGCTTATGTGGTGCTGAGGAATCGAGCCCAAGGGCCTCAGGCATGCAAGGCAAGCACTCTACCACTGAGCCACCTTCCCAGCCCCTGTTTCTGCTTTTTATTTTTATTTTTAATTTATTTTTTTGGGTCCGGTTGCGGGGCCTGAACTCTGGGCCTGGGCGCTGTCCCTCAGCTCTTCAGCTCAAGGCTAGCACTCTACCACTTGAGCCACAGCGCCACTGCCGGCTTTTTTCTTTTTGCTTATGTGGTGCTGAGGAATTGAACACAGGGCCTCATGCATGCAAGGCAAGCACTCTACCACTGAGCCACCTTCCTAGTCCCCTGTTTCTACTTTTTAATGGATTTGGAAATCCTGAGCCAGGCACAAGTAGCTCATGCCTATAATCCTAGCTACTCAGGAGGCTGAGATCTGAGGATCACAGTTTGAAGCTAGACCTGGCAAGAAAGTCTGTGGGACTCTTTTATCTCCAGTGAACTACTCAGAAAAAGCCAGAAGTGGTGTTGTGGCTCAAATGGTAGAGTAATAGTCTTGAGAAAAAAAATCTCAGGGACAGCACCTAGGCCCTGAGTTCAAGCCCCAGGATCAGCACACACCCACAAAAGAATTCCTTCTGACTGCAGTTGATATGCAAGTTTCTTTAAAACTAGACTTTTTCAGCACTTTGTGCTGCAGTCTCAAAGTCAGAATCTAGTGACATGAATGAAGTGACTGTTATATCATAATACTAGTAGTCTGGCAGACAGTCAGATTAGCACAGCTAGAGTTGCTTCTCCAGTGATCACCCAGGATAGTAACTGAATCATCTGGGGAGCACAGAGATTCAATTTCGTATGGTGCCTCTTGGGGGAAATCAGGGGCGAGGAAAATCAGCCTAGAAGCAACCACAAATCCATGATATTCCTGTGTGACACCCTTTTTGTACAGATACACAGGACAAACAGGCAAAGACAAGTCTTCTCTCAAAGCTTGTCATATGGAAGAGAGTAGGTAATTTGAATTTTACATTCTGGGAATTTTTGTTGTTGTCATGGGGCTTGAACTCAGGGCCTGGGCACTGTGCCTGGGCTCTTTGGCTCAAGGCTAGATCTCTACCACTTGAGCCACAGCACCACTTCCAGTTTTCTGGTGGTTAATTGGAGGTAGGAGTCTCCCGGACTTTCCTGCCCGACTCTGCTCCAGAAACTTTTACAGAAGAAAACTTTAGTTGTGTTTGATAGCTTAGTCCTTAACCTTTTCCTCTTCTTAATTAGTAGCAGGCAATTAAAGTTGTCAAGATTCTTTTCACACACTAGCCTTGCTAATCTAACCTTGATCTTGGCTCCACTCTTCACATATTCTTGCTTAGTTCCCAATGATGGTATACTTAAACTTTCACTCTATTGAGATGTCATGTGGTATATTTTTTCAGGTAAGAGGGCAGATTTATTTGTTGTCTTGGTTTACAATTGAAATAAAAAAGATCAACTACTGGATTTTTTTCTCCTTGCGTTTTAATTTCAGGAAAAGAAGAAGAAATGGCAATGAAGAAGATAACCATCTTCCCCCACAGACCAAAAGGAGCACGAGAAATGCTGTCTTTCAGGATTCCTGGGACACTGAGGTAAAGAATGGGTCACATACTCACTTGTTTTCTATGCTTAAGCACAGTGTATAACCCAAATAAGTATGATTTTACCTGACTGCAGTAGTACCAATCCTATTTCTATTTTGAGTCCTGTTCTCTATGTGGAACTTGGTACTCTCTTCCTAGCAAAGTCCATCCACACATGAATGCACACACTCACTCTTACACAAAGTTTCATGGATCTTTGAAAGCCCATCTTTGAACTCCCTATTTTATACATATATCTCAACAACCAACTTGTTTTCTGATAGTTTATAAGCCAATACCTATTCTTAAAGGTTAACATAGTTTATTACTTCAATAGAAATTTTAAGCATGTAGAATGTATGAGATATATATATATGTGAGGTATATGAGGTATGTATATGAAAGATCCTGTTTTAAAGTGTGTTTTCTTTTCACTGTGTTCTATTTTTTTTTTTTTTAATTTACGGTCGTGGGGCCTGAACTCTGGGTCTGGGCACTGTCCCTCAGCTCTTCAGCTCAAGGCTAGCGCTCTACCACTTGTGCCACAGCGCCACTTCCAGCTTTTTTCTTTTTGCTTATGTGGTGCTGAGGAATTGAACCCAGGGCCTCAGGCATGCAAGGCAAGTGCTCTACCACTGAGCCAACTTCCCAGCCCTTCACTGTGTTCTAGAAAGAGCATACCCGCTGGAGGAGGGGAGAGCAGCTGGGTGTCAGGGAAGACTCAGGAGTTCTCTATAAGTTCTAGGTTCCTGAGAGTGCTTGTCTGGATACAGAAACATTTCTTTGTGTGGTGGGAAGCCTTCTCTGATAGGAAAAGGAAGCCAGTGTTAGGTAATGCTTCTGTAAGGTTTTGCTTCTGTAATACAACTGGACATTGGTTCTTGTCACACCAGTGGAGAAATGCCATGGTGACAGAGCCTTACACTTAGAGCAGAATTCTTTTTTTTTTTTTTGGGTCTGGTCGTGGGGCCTGAACTCTGGGCCTGGGCACTGTCCTCAGCTCTTCAGCTCAAGGCTAGTGCTCTACCACTTGAGCCACAGCGCCACTTCCGGTTTTTTTTCTTTTTGCTTATGTGGTGCTGAGGAATTGAACCCAGGGCCTCAGGCATGCAAGATAAGCGCTCTACCACTGAGCCACCTTCCCAGCCCCTTCTTTTTTTTTTGGGGGGGGGGGGGTCGGGTCAATTGTTGGGCTTGAACTCTGGGCCTGGGCGCTATCCCTCAGCTTTTCAGCTTAAGGCTAGCACTCTACCACTTGAGCCACAGTGCCACTTCTGGTTTTCTGAGTGGTTTATTGGAGATAAGATTCTCACTGCTGGGGCTGGGAAGGTGGCTCAGTGGTAAGTGCTTGCCTTGCATGCATGAGGCCCTGGGTTTGATTCCTCAGGACCATATAAGCAGAAAAAGCTGGAAGTGGCATTGTGGCTCAAGTGATAGAGTGCTAGCTTTGAGCTGAAGAGCTGAGGGATGGTGCCCAGGCCTAGAGTTCAGGCTCCACGACCAGAAAAAAAAGAAAAAAAGATTCTCACGGCCTTTCCTGCCCGGTCTGGCTTTGAACTGTGATCCTCAGATCTCAGCTTCCTGAGTAGTTAGGATTACAGGCATGAGCCACCAGCACCTGGCTTCTAGAGTAGAATTATTACACACCAAAACACTGTTTACTTTCATAGTTCCCAGTAACAGAATTTCACTTAGGTGAGTCCCCAAGGGAATCATCAGTAACTGTCATGTGGGTAACCCAACTGTTGGACATTCCAGATTTGATCCTTCTGTGGGAGACTTTGTTCTCTGTAGCCTTTTTCCCTCCTCCCCACCTTGTTTTTTTGCCAGTCCTGGGGCTTGAACTTAGGTTCTAAGCACTGTCTCTCAGCTTCTTTTGGCTCAAGGCTAGTACTCCACCACTTGAGCCTATAGTGCCTTTCTGCTTTTTCTGTTTATGTGGTACTGAGGAATCGAACTTTATGCATGCTAGGCAAGCACTCTACCACTAAGCCACATTCCCAGTCCCTTTTTTTTTTTTGTTGGTCATGGGGCTTGAACTCTGAGCCTAAGCACTGCCCCTCAGCTCTTCAGCTCTAGGCTAGAGCTCTACCACTTGAGCTACAGAGCCACTTCCAGTTTTCTGGTGGTTTATTGGAGATAAGAGTTTCACGGACTTTCCTGCCCGGGTTGGCTTTGAATCACGATCCTCAGATCTCAGCCTCCTGAGTAGTTAGATTACAGGCGTGAGCCACTGGTACCCGACTTCCTTTTTCCTTTTTTTTAAAGGATAATTAACAGAAAAGTAATTGAGCTTCTGTTTAATGCAATAATTGGAGAGACTCAGGGATGAAGGAAACCAGATTAAAGGCTGCTGAGAGCACCTTGTAAGGCTGTTCGTTAAAGGTATACGTAATACTCTCATGGAGTATCACAGAAGAGAGCAAGCATTCTTGTTCCTTAGCCCTGGGTCCTGTGTCTTGTTTTTACTTCTCCAAAGAACTTCAGGTATGGCACCACCCTGTGATTATTGCTCTGAAGTCAGACTTCTTATCTTGTAAGGTCAGTATAGTAGCTTGTGGGCTTTCTGTTTTTGTTTTTGTACTGGGGCTTGAACTCAGGATCCTTATGTTCTTGCTTGGCTTTTTTTGCTATGGCTGGCACTCTAGCGCTTGAGCCGCATCTCCAGTTCCAGCTATCTGCTGGTTAACTGAGGCAAGAGACTCAAACTTGCCTCTCTGGGCTGGTTCCAAACCTAGAACATCAAATCTCAGCCTCCTGAGTAGCTAGGCTTACGGGCGTGAGCCAGCACTGCCTGGTGGATGGTAGTTTTCATCTATACCCATTGATGATACATAACTTAAACTTTGCTTGACTGATTGGTCCCAGCATGCCCTGTATTCCCTGCTTCCCTCTCCTCTCCCCACATAGCTTCAGTAACATCAAGTGGACTGTAAAACTGGAGATGCAAAAGGCTGGAGGAAATTTTGTTTTGTCCAAGACCAGGACTCAAACTTAATACTTCATATTTTCACTGTTGATTAATGCTGTACCAACTGAGCCATGCCTCCAATCCCAGGAAGGGAAAGCTTTTGAAGTATGAAGTTAAGCTCTGAATAATTGTGTTTTTTCTACTGGAATAGACTCGAGTTTGTAGCACAAAACCAAGTTTGCATTTGGCTCTTTTTAAAAAATTATATAGAAAAGGGGCCGGGCGCTGGTGACTCACGCCTGTAATCCTAGCTACTCAGGAGGCTGAGATCTGAGGATCACGGTTCAAAGCCAGCCCGAGCAGGAAAGACCTTGAGACTCCTATCTCCAATAAACCACCAGAAAACCGGAAGTGGTGCTGTAGCTCAAATGGTAGAGTGCTCGCCTTGAGCTGAAGAGCTGAGGGACAGCGCCCAGGCCCGGAGTTCAAGCCCTACGACTGACAAAAAAAAAAAAAATTATATAGAAAAGAGAAGATGATCATTCATTGTGTTAACTTTGATAATAGAATATGAATCTTTTTTTTTTTTTTTTGGCAATACTGGGGTTTGAACACGGAGCCTTGCACTTCCTAGGCAGGTAGCCTACCATTTGAGCCACACCCTCCTCAGCCTTTTGCATTGTATTAGTAAAAGTATTATATTTTTACTCTTTTTTAAAAATTTATATTTTGGTGTGGGCTTTGAACTCTGGGCGTGGGTACTGTTCCTGAGCTCTTCAGCTCAAGGTGAGCACTCTACCACTTGACACAGTGGTGCCACTTTCAGTTTTCTGTTGGTTAATTGGAGATAAAAGTCTCTGGATTTTCCTGCCCAGGGTGGCTTTGAACTGAAATCCTCAGATCTCACTCTTCTGAGTAGCTAGGTTTATAGGTATGAGCTACCAGTGCCTCTGGCAAAATATTTTTACTTTTTTAGCCAACAGGTTTCCTTGGGACTAAGTCAGATAAGAGAAAACATTCCCTACCTTTCTTTTTTTTTGGGTCCGGTCGTGGGGCCTGAACTCTGGGCCTGGGCCCTGTCCCTCAGCTCCTCAGCTCAAGGCTAGCACTCTACTACTTGAGCCACAGCGCCACTTGCGGCTTTTTTCTTTTTGCTTGTGTGGTGCTGAGGAATCGAACCCAGGACGTCAGGCATGCAAGGCAAGTGCTCTACCACTGAGCCACCTTCCCAGCCCCATCTCTGCCTTTCTTAAAATGCTTAGAAAATTCTTTTTCTTGTAGCTTGTACTTACATCTGAGGAATTTGTTTAGATTCTGAAAGACTTAAAATGGCTACTTTTTACTTGGAGGCTGAGGTCTGAGGATCACTGACAAAAGCCAGCTTAGACAGGAAAGTCCCTGAGATTCTTTTTTTTTTTTTTTGGGTCCGGTTGTGGGGCCTGAACTCTGGGCCTGGGCACTGTCCCTCAGCTCTTCAGCTCAAGGCTAGCGCTCTACCACTTGAGCCACAGCGCCACTTCTGGCTTTTTTTCTTTTTGCTTATGTGGTGCTGTGAGGAATCGAACCCAGGACCTCAGGCATGCAAGGCAAGTGCTCTACCACTGAGCCACCTTCCCAGCCCCGTCCCTGAGATTCTTATATCCATTTAACCACCAAAAAAGCTGGAAGTGAAAGTGTTGTTGCTCAAGTGGTAGAGCACTAGCCTCAAACAAAAAAGGTCAGGATCAGTGACTAGGCCTTGAGTTCAAGCCCCAAGATAGTCACCAAAAAAAAAAAAAAGAGAGAGAGAGAGAAAAAGAAAAAAAAAAAGACTGATTACTTATTGAAAGTTACTTTTTTTCCCTAAATGTAATAATCTTGGTATCTTTCTGGGAAGTTAGATGTGAGGTGTCTGATTTGCATTAAATTACCACAAGTAGCTCTGTAAACTGAAGGTAATATATACCTCTTTTCCCCATATACTGAGAAGCCATAAGAATAAGAACTATCCTGCAGATGAGTTAGAGAGATACTTCATGTATTTTCTTTCTCTTTGTTGTTGTTTTTTTGTTTTTTTGTGGGTCATGGGGCTTGAACTCTGGGCTTGGGCACTGTCCTT